GGTATATTCAAAAAAACAAAATAACAATGAAATAACATTTTATAAACCTTGCTATTATGCATTTACCTGAAGCATTTAAAAAAAAAAAATTCTTTATTTATTTAAATTTTAACAATCTTCTTCTAAAAGGTATGCATTTAGAGTCACCATAAAACCGCATTGAATTATGCTGTCTGCAAATATGCATTTTTGCATGATGAAATTTTTGGACATGTTTTGAAAGATCCATACTAGCATTTACAGCAGTGTTTACATTGCTGCTTGTTTCCTTAGAAGTTTAACCGATTATGCAAACCTTTAAAGAATGAGCGCAGTCTGTAATGAACCTGCTAGTCTTTGCAGTACAACCTCAGTAACCGTCTATGAGTTTGCTCACCTACCATTACATAAAATGCCCAGCATAACTAACCATTACTTGTTTCAAAATAATTTTGAAATTGTTTTAGTGTCAATTTTTCTCTCAGCAATAATACTTGGAAGTTAATAAATTATAATCTAGAAACTTTAAAAATAACACTTAAGGTTGAGACGCTATAAATTAAAGTAATAATAATAATAATTATTATTATTATTATTATTATTATTATTATTATTATTATTATTTTACAAAAATGTATGTTCCATTTAATTAATTACAAAAACAATTTTAATAATTTTAATTTCTACATTTCTGTTTAGTCAAAGGGAGTTATGTAGTTTAAAAAGGAAATTAATTCAAAAACAGTATGTAATGTGAAATAACCCCCTTTTCTGTGTAGATTTTCTGACTTAGCCTAATTTTTTTACATCACTTGCAAGTATAATATATTGAAATAAAAAATTACAAATACAACTTACAGTTGGCTAAATTAAATAATACATTACCTAATAATTTAATATATTTATTAATTTTATTTGTCAAAAAAACCTTTGCTCAATGTCAGACATTATTAAGTCCTACAATCCTAAGTATATTAACTCAGAAGTTTAGTGTAGTTCTGCATTGCCTTGCCCAATGTCCTACACAGCAAGAAAAGCCGTTCAGTATCTGAAGAGACTATGCTGCTTTATTTCTTAAATCACCTAATTTTATTAGAACAAAACACAATTAAAACTGTCAATTGTATAAAAAAAAACGTTTCACTTTGGAAAGGAAAACTGAGGACAATATTTCAGTGATTGTACTGTTCATCTATTATTTGTACTGAGTTTATCTGTATGAACATATTATCCGTAATGTGCATATCTGTCTGAAGATATTGGTGCAACTTTGTATTGAACATACTACTACTAAAGTCCAATAGCTGAAATGCAATTTCAAATTCAGGATAAAATCAATAAAAAAAAACAAGCATCATAATATTGCAATTAATAAAGACTCTCTGTCAATGCAACTAATTCATATTGCGTGAGAAATTCACTGGAGTAAATGCAATCATTTAATATTTTAAGAAACATACATCATATTTATGATATAGTCAATGTTGTCTAAAGATACTTCAGAATTAGTACAATCTAGAAAGAGCACTGTGTTTCCCATTGAATTATGATGGTTATTCATGCCATTAAATATTACTCACCTGATAAAAGTGACTGAGGGAAGTATATATTCAAGGACAATGCAAGCAAGCTTATATGTACCTTGCTGTATTTGTTTTCTGCTTGCTACAATGTTTCTAAAGACCATGTTCCATTATTACCACACTGTTTCTGATTTCCTGTGTAATTCTTAGGCGGGGGTTGGTTTATAATGGAGAGGGGAGGTGGGTGACTGAGCAGGTGGGGGTGGGGGGCAAGCCTTCTTAGGTCTTATCAAAATCAGGATCAGTGATTAATCCACATTTTCAGCACTTTGTAAACAGCAAACATAACATAACATAAAAATGTATCTATTAAGCTGTGATAATTGCCTTACATCTGTTTCTCTGTTAGTAAACAAGGAAATGAAAGATATAAAGATAATGATGACATCTATCATCATACACAGTTTCACCCTTGATCAGTGAATTAACCATATTTCCTCTTTGTATAAAAAAAATGATCTTTTCTGCATAATAAACCTTTAATTATACATGTTTTGGATTGAGTTTTCACATTTATAGTTTATATTTTCAGTTAAAAGTTTTGTGTTTTGTGAATTTAAATGATTTGTTATTTTGAAGATTTATTACAGGAAACTTTTACGCCATTACTGCCATACATTATTCTTAAGTGTTTCTAAATTCTTATACCTTTACCAACACTAGTAGCTTGTGTCCTAACTGCTCTTTTAAGGCTAATCGGTAGCCATGTACCCTACACTGTAGCCTGACACCTGAAGTTACATTTCTGGGGAGGTGCACCTCAGGTTACAGCATAGGATATACAGCTACGCCATACCTATGGCATACCACTTTTATGCAGAAATAGAGCTTGCTTCTCACACACAGAAGGCAATTAACAAATATCAACAGCAAGTGAGAACATGCAGGACTTGTCACCAGTCATTTTTCCATCTCCAGCTACAAAAATGCCATAAACACCAAATTCACAAACTGCTGCACCTTTTGAATGGTTGTTCACATTGCAAAGTTTTTCATTAGAATGCAAAAGATTGCATTTTGTAGACATGGAATAAAAACAATCAATCAAGATTACTCGCAAAAGAAATTAAATACAACCAACAAGTGGCTGAAGATGTATATGCATGACTAAAAAAAGAATTATGAACTAAACGATTTACTTTGGCTAAAAGTATCAGACAAGATTGTGTGCATGTATATTTACTTTACAAACTAGGCTAATAATAATACGCATTCTCCATTCAAATCAAGAAAGGTAGCTCTGATTTGGCTCCTAATATTTATTCAGTCTGGTATGCAGCTATTAAAAAAAAGTTTGCTTCAAAGTAGTGGAGAAAGGTAGACAATAATATCACTTTGGGAGTATGTTTAAACGAGAAAAGATAATAAACTATAGTTTTAGAATCTAAATGATTGCAGAATGTCTTTTTGCCATTTTGTTTTTGCCCTACTGTGATATCCAATACAAATTTGTGAGTTAGCCAAAGAACCAGGTTTTAGATTTATTTATTTTTGCACTTTTGTCTGAAATGACATACAGTACAAGTGACTGAGAGTTCTGTCAGTTCCTGGAGCACTTGGGGTTAAGGGCACTTCTCAAGAGCCCAATTGTGAAATCACTCCACCAGCCACGGGATTTGGACTTCTAATCATTGTAGATCTCATCCTCTCCTTCTTATTTCAACAGAGCACTAGAAATGGACATTGCTATAGATGGCGGCAGAGAGATCCTACTTAGGCTGCTTGAGACGGTCTACTCTTTTTGCACTGTAAACTATAAAATACACCTAAGTACATTACAAAACATGTATGAGAAATCATACTGAATGAAATATAGGGCTTTCAGTAACAGAATAATAAACAATATGTCCAGTAATCTATGTCAGTTTTATCTACTGGACAGAATTGTTTTAGAAGAATTTTGAACCGATAACCCAATTCAACAACCATTCAGCTCTTCACTTACTGAACGTTCTTGTTCTCATTTAAAAAAGTGGCACATCTATAGTAAGAGAAATATAGGGCCACATAAGTTATAAAACAATGGATATCTGAAAATTAATATGAAAGATAAAATGTTTATTTCTTAGTTTACATTTTAATCACACTGGTTGCAGTCTGAGTACCCTTTTGTCATTTTCAGGCAAACAGTAAAATTCATAACGTTAAACTCTTTCTTCATCGTGGTCTAGGTCTAGACATATTCCTATTCACCTAGCACTACAAAGGCTGGTATTGATCTAAAGGGAGGGACTGAAGTCCCGCTTGGCTGCTTCGCTATACTTGCATTGTTTATATTTTGCGTTTCGTAAGGCACGGGAAGGGATAGGGAATGACTGAAAATGAGAGTGGTGGGGAAAGGTCAGAGACTCCCCGGTGACAGCTCACTCTGTGCACAGCCAGAGTCTGTAAAGCCAACACTTGCAGCCACTTTGCCAACTTCCTTTTTAATATGCCGACAACATGCTCGGGAACAGCAGGAGCGCGAGACTCAGGTGCCGGAGTCGTTTGCCAAAGACTGAAAGGAAAGCATTACTGTCATTCGGGTCAGAATCATACCATTCACCAGCTTTAGCCCGTCTCTATTTACTCACCTCTTGATACAAACTCGTCAATATGAATACATAATAACGTGTAAAGCACGGTATATCAGGAGACAGTAACGAACTCACTAGCCTACACCATCTACGCACTCAATATGGCTACAACTTTCGTATTGGCTACGTTATTCAATAGTGCGTCACATTTTTTACGTGATGCTATATATAGTAGGCTATAATACTACCGGCAAATGGTTGACTGTCGCTGCGCATGATTTTAAATAACATTTCAAAATAACACATTAAAACAACTCGTCACAAGGATGTTTATTCTACATCTGATGTTGTTTCATACGCAGTTACCTAAACAAGTGATAACAACTGTCGTTAGAAATAACTTATTCTATAAGTTACTTAGTCATTCACTTGGTCTGTGTTTATCTTCGTGAAACCAATTTAAATATATTATTGCAAGATTGAATTCTCGAAAAAACTTGCATTTGAAGTTCAGAGTGGAGGTAACGATGGTGTATTTTACAGCAGTGGTTATTGCAATTATATGGTATTGCCGATTAACCGGTTACAGTATCCGAGACATTTTTTAAAAATGAAAACAGAGTACAAAGAGGTTCGTGTTTGAAAGCAGAGATCAATCGTTATTTGCATTCTTAAACAGTAAGGGATGTCCCCTTAAACTGATAAGCCTGAAAAAAAGTAATTCCATGGAAGAAAACTGTCTATAATTGTTTCAAGCATTTTAAGTTACGATTACTCATCATTATTTTTTAACTAAAATGTGATCGCGATGTTAAAGCTATACTAAGCTATTTAGGCAAAACTTTTTTTTGCGTGTGACTGATATGAAATAATTAACAAGAGAAGTTAAGACTATCGCTGCTACTCCAGCGTTTGAACTTACCACTCCTGAGAAACCCGTTCTGTCGTTTCCTCCGGTGTTTCTCTGAATGAGCTGTTATTTTGTAACATGCAAAACAAAGATCCCCCTAACACCTGGATGTCCCTTCAACCCCTATCAGCCTGAAAGCAACTGACAATAACTGCTCTTATTAACAAACATCAGCTCGCCACACACAGCCAGTTACCCCAATCTCCCCAGACTTTCTGGTATTTTGTTTCCCACATTCGCTCTCCAAACGACTCACCTCCCTCTTAAAGGGGCAGGACTTTTCACTCCAGGCTAAAATGTAAAAAGTCCATTCTAAATAACGATATCCGCGACACTTTTCGGCTGGATTTATTAGTCTCAGTACCCTATTTTTGTAATTGATTTGATATTATATGTTTAAATGATATATACTGTACAAAGGCTTTTTTTTCTAATATTAAACATTCAAGTCTTCAGGAGCACTATTTTTCGTTAGGTTATATATATATAGATTGCTTATGCATACAGTCGAATTATATGGAAGCAATACAAGTTAGTGACCTATTTTTCAGGAATACAATTTACATTTACAGTCCTTTGATTTTATGTCAATGAATAAGCTTCTCCAACACAGCTATGTAACTTAAATATGTCAAAGGCACACACACACACACACACACACACACACACACACATATATATATATATATATATATANATATATATATATATATATATATATATATATATATATATATATATATATATATATATATATATATAGACACTCACCTACATTTAGTTGGGCCTAATGAACTACATCAGGGGTGGCACAGTGGTGCAGTGGTTAGCATTTTTGCATTACACCTTTGAGATCAGGGTTTGAGTTTCTGGCCTGGCCTGTGAGTTTGCATGTTCTCCCTATGTAATTGTGGGGGTTCCACTTCATTAGTGTGGTTTCCCCCCACAGTCTAAAAATATACTAAGGTGAATTAGAGTTGGCAAATTGTCCGTATGTGTGATGGGTTGGCACCCTGTCCTTCGTTATTCCCTGACTGGAGCCTGTAAGTTCTGGGATAAGCTCTGGACCCCCACAGCACTGCGTAGGATAAGTGGGTATAGAAGATGGGTGGATGACAACACCAACAAAAACTCACTTAACCAGTATCTAAAAAAACAGTTTATTAACTGTTTTTTTTTCTCATTGGTTACTTATATTTCACCACTATGTGTTGCACATTATGCCAACATGTGCTGCATATTTTTAATTGTACTGATCTGATTTTTAGTTAAGTCAGTTATACCAATGAACATAATAAACAGTAAAATAAATGATGTAATCCTCAAGAGGAGAAATTGGAAAACTACATTAACTTATCTCAAAATTTAAAACAGAAATGGTTCCGCATTTTGTCCATTTTCAGTATTATGTGGCCACCACACCCATTAAAGAAACTTTTACAGGATAAAAGCAAGTATGTCCCTGCCCTACAAACATCAATGTGTATATTACATCTTTCTCTCCTTTTTCCCTGTACATAGTGAGCCACTGCAGCTCAGGGTGAGAGCCTAAAGCCGATGTGCCATTTCTAATCCCCTCTGTTCCTGCCTTTGTGTAACAACCCAGCAGGAAGTGGGAGCTGGGCAGACAACAATTAACAAAAGAGCTGTGAAGAATACAATTAGCCATCAATAGGAAACCACAGGGCTTTGTGCCTGTTTCCATGGAGATATCCGACTACCTCTGTTCTGGGATTAGGGACCTTTCCATTTCTTTTTCTCCTTTTGCTCTTCCTCTTTCTCCCTCTCGCTCACATTCTCTTCCAATCCATCCTACTGTTTTCTATCTAAAATTCTTATTTTTTGTCAATTGCTTGTCACCTAGCAACTATGGGAGCCAACACAAGCTTCTGCACCTTTTCCCCTCTGCTTTCAGGCTTTCCACCTTTGTCTTCCCTGCAGAGTGAAGGTGACGTGTGTGGATTGTTTTGCTTCTGTCTGCCTACTGCCTGACAGCTCATTGAGGACAGGCTTTGTTAAACCTGAAGCAGCAGTTATGAAGCACCTGTTTGTCTAGAGCACAGGGAAACCATTTGAGATAGCTGAGGCTTTTCTGCATTTTAGTTGGTAGAAAAAAGGTCTAAATTTGTCGGTAGTGTGTATTAATGTTTATGGCTAATATTCCATTATTGGTCAGTATACTTTGGCAAGAAAAATAGTGTTATCAGTAATGTTCAGCTATCATAATATATTGATTTTTTTTTCCAGCAAATTCTTTTCAGGTGTCAGTGAGACAACTGATGTAAAACGCCTTCGAGTGAATGTGGAAAACAGAGTGTTATTTAATCATTAAAAGGAAAAAAAATACCGGTGATAACTGGTAATATACCGGTTTTAACTGATAAGTATACCGGTGAAATAAGCTTGGGTTAATGTATCAGTCATGTAATGATAGTGTTTCCCATGTAGCATACATCCAAATGCAGCAACTCCTCTTAATTTGACTGTCTATATATTCCATCCACAAGGCACGGGGAACACTGGAAAGGATGCCAGTCCATGACAGGATACCCGCATAGTCACACACCATGGGCAATTTACTGCTAATTCACTTAACAATTCCTCTCTGTAGTTGTTGTATGGAGAAAATAAATAGTAGTTCACTAGTTGATGGGAGTATAATTATTTCTTCATTACTAGTAAGCTTTTAATTATATGCTGTTTTTTTCTTGAAGGCTTGGGTGAATCTGAATGTTCTGCAAAAATATTCTAATGATGAATTAAAATGTGCCTGCAGAGATGTGGTGACAGTAGGAAACGTTTTTTAAAAATCAAACAATCCCAGAATAGAAAATAAAATGTATTTGTGACTTTTTTTGCAACAAGACACTTTTTTCATATGTATTTTTCTGTGGGTACTGTTGTAACTCCTCTAGAACTATAACCACTTTTTTCCTGTTTGCTATTTCAGTTCCGACCCATTTTTTAACTTCCCTACCCACCCCCTCTTTGCCCCCCAGTGGGTGAAGATCTTTATCAAACCACAGACACTGAAAATTGCCTTTATTTTTGTATTTTATCTATTTGCAGGTTTTAAACATTACTGATTAATTTGTACAATACACTCATCCTTACTTCATTTTATATTTTTCACACAGTACTTTTCTACTGATATGAAAGTTCATATACGGTTTAGACTTGTTTCTCCTGTGTTTACCATTATTAATAAATCATTATGCATACTAAATTATGTAAATAAACTCCTCACTGTTGGTTATGTTAGAAATCCCCAAAGAAAGCTACTGATCTCCAGTAAAGCTTATTTAGTGACCAGATAATTTAAGAATTGAAAAATCCTGCAAATAAAAGGCAAAAACATCATTACAAAGCTGACACCAGCAATATAGTCAGACCACATTTTTTCCCTACGTGCTCAAAACTAAATGTCAGTTCTGCTTATGCAAGCATTAGAAAACCAAGATGTCTTTACCAACATGCAAAATGATATGGAAGCACAGAGGAGAGTGGATAAACATGCAAACCACACAGGAGAACCAGAGTGCAACTTAACCAATAAAACCTGAACAACCTATGAGCACATATACCTATAAATGTATGTCAGATAACAGCCATATTATTTCTGAGAAAATTTTATGACCACAAAGACGTGTATTTTGATCCCACTTCCACAGACCTGAAGTATTAGTTAACATATCAGGTAATATATATATATATAAACTAATTATCACAGATTGTTGTCTGTAAAACGTTGTTATGAACAGATGATCCCCCACTTAAACAAGCATTGTGAAGTGTTAGACTTTACTAATGGGAAGAGAAAATTCCTACAAAAGACAGTTTTCACTGTTTTACTTACTGTCACAAAAGTGGCAAATTATAAACTAAATCTAATTTCTGATTACTCCCATTCCATTTTGATAAGTTGCTTATGGCAATGCAATATACACTCACCTAAAGGATTATTAGGAACACCATACTAATATGGTGTTTGACCCCCTTTCGCCTTCAGAACTGCCTTAATTCTACGTGGCATTGATTCAACAAGGTGCTGAAAGCATTCTTTAAAAATGTTGGCC